AAAAATCCAGCACACAGGAAATAATAAATATTAAATATTAACTAAAAACTCGTGTAAGTTTCAATCTCATTTACTTTCTGAGTCTCCTTTAATTTGCCATGTGAAGCATTTTATCACCTCCAAAACAAGCTCCCTAAGGTAAAGTCTTGGTTTCATATATAATTATATACCCAGAGAGTAGCACAAAGCAGCACATATTTACTGAATAAATAACTGTGGAAAAAATCAATAAAACTCAAGAGACTGAATACAATATGGAAAAGAATCAGTGACTGAACACTAGGACTAACATTAAGGGGACAGGTTTAGTGTGGTTATAGAAAGACAGTGATACACAACCAGCTCAAGATGTGGACAGCTCAAGTGCTCTAGAGAAGTTAAACAGGAAATTTACAAATAAGCTAAAAGCAAGGCCCTGGGTTTAAACACCAGCTCTGCTTTCTGCTGTCTCCAAATGTATATGTGAGTACATTAGACTCTGGGTAGATCTCAATATTTCAGAGTCAGAAATTTAAATCCCACCAACCTCACAAACTTGTGCATTAGAACAGCAAATAGTACATCTGGGTACTACTAAGATGATAAACAGTAGCTTAAAAGTTGGATTATGGCGCTGGAGGAAGCTCATATAGGCATCTATCAACTACTATACCTGCTGACCTAAGTTCAATACGTAGGTCCACATGGTCCTCTAACCTCCAAACATACGCTCTGCCATGCAGGTGCCATATACACACAGGCACACAGAAAACAATCAAAATGCAAGAAAATACAGTGAAAGCACAAAACAATTAGTACCTCAGATTACAACTAAAAACAAAAGGCTATATTACAAAAAGTGGACAGGAAAGGAGGGCACGTGCCCCACACTATTCCTTTACTGAAAAGGTAAGGCGGGAAGATTGCCATTAGCTGTGAGGCTAGCCTCAGCCTAACAGCTGAGCACCACACCAACCAGGAATACACAGTTAAGACCCAGTCTCAAAAACCAAAAGGAGATGAAACTGAGAAAATGAAAGAAGGAATGAATAGAATAGAAGCCAAAGAAACAGTCCATTGTTGGAGACAATCTCATTATCTACCTCTGGTTGCTCTAGAACACAAGAGAGGTCCACCTGCTTTTGCCTCCCCAGTTCTAGGATCAAAACCCTAAATGAAAAGATTTGAGGGAAGAAATAGTTGAGAGCAGAAAATGTAGTTTAAACCCAATACAGTGTGTAAACCCACAGGATTGGGAAATGCGAAGGTCAATCATGAAGGGGGAGGGGCAGGACTTATGTTACCCATGTTCATAAGAGACAAGACTACAGACTGAGGATAACAGGTAAGTGCCAGAGAATTTAAAACAACAATTGTAATGACAGTGAGATGGCTCAAGGGGTAATGAAGCTGGTCAACAAGCCAGACAACCTGAGTCGGATCCTCAGGACTGACAGAGAAAAGTGAAAGCTGACAGCCACCAGCAAGCAGTCTCCTGCCCTCCAGCTGTGGGAGATCACAAACCACAGACACACTAAAGAGCATGCACAAGCTTAGGGTTCAATCTCTAACACTGCCAAAAAGTGTTGGCACCCATCTTAATCCCTAGGAGGCTGAGGCAGAGAATTACTTATACCCAGGAGTTAAAGTCTAGCCTAGGCAACACTACAAGTCAGTTTAAAAAAGAAAGAAAGAAAGAAAGAAAGAAGGGAGGGAGGGAGGGAGGGAGGGAGGAAGGGAAGGAAGGAAGGAAGGAAGGAAGAAAGAAAGAAAGAAAGAAAGAAAGAAAGAAAGAAAGAAAGAAAGAAAGAAAGAAAGAAAGAGTGGATGAATGTTTTTAAGAAAGTAACAGAAGCCGGGCAGTGGTGCTGCACGCCTTTTAATCCCAGCACTTGGGAGGCAGAGGCAGGTGGATTTCTGAGTTCGAGGCCAGCCTGGTCTACACAGTGAGTTCCAGGACAGCCAGGACTACACAGAGAAACCCTGTCTCAAAAAACCAAAAAAAATAAATAAATAAAAAAATAACAGAAATAATTTTAAACTTACAGCTTAATATAATACATATTTTCACACATACATTCACACAAAACGTTTAAGTATGTACTCACAAGCAGTTTTAATTAAAGACAAATAGCATTCAAGGCCACTGTGAGCCACCTACCAAGGTCCAGGCAGCTTTTTCTAAACAGTCTTGCTCCCACCCACCCATAATGAGTGACAGCACTTAAAGCACATTCAATATTCTAGAAACAAATCTGAAATGCTATTAACCCAATAAAACAATTTTAAAAATATACAGCACACACAAGAGCATATAAACAATTCAGTCATGAACATCTTATTCCAAAAATATCAGTATAAAATAGTGAAAATGTCTCTGGATCAAACAGAAGCAGAGGACATCATATAACATTCTTTAAACCAAGTAAACAGGCAGGAGAAATGGCACATCTTCCAAGATACCCAGTCCCAGTCCCCACAGCAGGGACACTCACAACACATGCAACTCCAGCTCCAGAAGAACCCAACATCTGGCCTTTGAGCACCTGAACTCTTGTGCACACGTACATACACACACATAATTAAACATAATAAAAATGTTTAAAAGGGAGGAAAAAGCAAGTAAACAAAGATTATCAATCTGAAAGAAACCAAACTACAGAATCCTTACAAATCCTTTTTCTGTTGCTGCTAAGATCAGGAACAATGAAAAGGACATGGAAGCAAATCATATATTGCAACAATGTAAAACTTGTTAATTTGGACACAAGATACTTTCTTAGCTAATTAATCATGCCTGAGCGAGAAATTCAACTGCTAATTTGAAAATTAAAACAACAGTACAGGGCTGGAGAGATAGCTCAGTGGTTAAGAGCACTGCCTGCTCTTCCAGAGGTCCTGAGTTCAATTCCCAGCAACCACATGGTGTCTCATAACCATCCGTAATGGGATCTGATGCCCTCTTCTGGTGTGTCTGAAGACAGTGACAGTGTACTCATGTAAATAAAATAAATAAATCTTTAAAAAAAAAACAACAACAAAAAAAACAACAGTACAGGATCAAATAAGGACCTGGTGGCTTATCAATTCAGCAAAAGCCTCAATGCAATTTTGTAATGGATGCACCTCACTCTGCCCACGTGGGAAAGTCGGTATCAACATTCTAGAAAGTTGTATGCCCACACAACTCTAAATCCACGAAGAGTTAAGTAGACTCTACAAATTTAAAAGAAACCATAGGCAATTCTGACATAAGCTTTTTGGAAGTAGTAATCTCTAAAACACAAATGTATTTTTAAGCACAATTTTAAGACTACCAAATGAACTAAATGTGTCATATAAAATATGTAGGATCTTGTTGTTATTTTAAAATTTAACTTCATGCACTTTGTGGAGTTAAATATAGGTTTACTGGCTTGCCAGGTGAAGTGGTGCAAGTCTTTATAATTCCAGCACTTAAAGAGGAGCATATGGACCTCTAAGAGATTTAAAGCAGTCTGTTCCAGTAGTGAATTCCACATCGCCCCAGACAACAGAGACCCTGTCTCAAAAGCAACCATGATACTAGACGGTGGTGGCGCAGGCCTTTGATCCCAGCACTCAGGACGCAGAGGCAGGTGCATCTGAGTTCCGGGCCAGCCTGCTCGACAAAATTATTCCAGGACACCCAGAGGTACACAGAGAAAATCCCAGTTTCAAACAACAACAACAAAATCCCATAAACAAAAAAAAGTTTACTGGTTCAATCAATTGCTCTGCAATGCTTTTGGCAGCGAAACAATCGTATTTGTAATTTTCTTTTACATTTTGCTGTTTAAGATAGACTATGTAGCCGTGATTGTACTGGAACTCTATATAAATCGGGCTGGACTGAACTAAAGGATATCAAACCCCCTCTCCCTCCTGAGCACTGGGATTAAAGACTTGTGCCTCTACACCTGGGTAGTTTTAATTTTTGAATAAAATTGTTTACATTGTTTGTAAACAATCGAGTCAGAAATAAATTAATCAATGTAATTAAAAGTTCACTATTCGAAACCAAACTGAAGATTCCTATTTATTTGAGGATACCTTTTCCACATTTATTAATCAAGCTCTTGTTTCAACATTATTTCTCCCTAAATTCACCAAAGGAGTTTTGTGTGTGTACAATAACGAACAATATTGCTTACGTCGAAATTTATGTCTGAAAAACAGGTGCAACGTTTAGATGCATGCTTTTTTCTTCTAAGCTTAAATTATACCCTGGAAAGGAACTTAAAACTAAATGCAACTATCTTACAGCTTGAATAAGCCTTTCAAACAGATGCAACAATTTAAAAAATTCAAGGCATGAACCCGCAACTGCCACCTTCCAAAAGTTAGGATAACTCAAATCTGTCAGAGGATCATATTAAGTGGGCATTTAGCTCCGTTTTAGCTTGTACCGAACAATAAGTACGTTCTACTTCAAATTAAGACCAATTCGTTCCGTAGACATTTCACACTGTACAGATTGCCCAGTTTTGCTTTGTATCAGTAGAAAAGCATGAATATATAAGGGAAGTCTGGTGAAGCCGACTCATAAGAGAAATATTCAGTTAAAGTGTTGGTGAACCATTAAGCGCTAAAGGAAATCCAAGCGAGTAGAGCGGCACCCCGGGGACTTAAAAGAGTTGAGGATGGGAAGGGCAAACTTCGCCGGACTGCCACAAGCCATTGTGCGCGGTGTAGCCCGAAGCGGCGTGGCTGTCAAGGGGCAAGTGCGTACCGAGGCGCGGGGGAGGGGGCAGGACGCCACATCGGAAGGGGGTGCAGGAGCCAGGAGGCAAGACACTCATCCCAGGCCCTCTCCGCGTGTTCTCGCCCTCAAGAGGTCCAACAAGCGCAAACTCAACGCCCAGCGGGTCCACGCCAGACTCTCACCCAGAGGCGCTGGGCCCAAACCCGGAGGCCCAGTAGGTGCCTCTGGAGGAGCCCCGCGGACGCCATGCTAAAAGCCAAAATGGCTGCCCCAAGGATGCCCGCAGCGCGCCGCCTGTGAGGAGGGTGCCGGCCGCTGCGGGAGCGGGGGAGGGGGCGCCGGGAGCGCCGTCACCGCTCGCCAGCCGGAGCCGCTCAGGTAGGTCCCCTCCGCCCCTTAGATCACGGGCCCCAGCCCGGGCCCCACCCCCCGGCCCGTGCCCGGGCCCCAGCCCGTAGTTGACCCGGGTGAGGTACCTGCAGTTCGGCCCGCTCTACCTCCCAGTGCGCCCGCTCCATCTCGAACCGAGCCCACTCGTGCTGGATGTAGTGCAGTATCCCCGGGATAGTGTACTGTTGCGGCCGGGACAGCTCGGGGCCTGCCGGCGGCCCCGCCGCCTCCGCGGCCGGAGGACCCCCACCGCCCGGCGCTCCATTCGCTCCCGGTGGAAGGCTCAGGTTCCCCCCGGGTCCTTGCTGCGGCCGGGGAGGGGCTGCCATCCCCTGGCCGCCGCCGCCTCCGGCCAGCTCGTCCATTATGTGTGGGGCCCCGGCCGGGGCGCAGAGCGAGACGCCGACAGCTGCGGGGAGGGTCGGGACGGTGGCCCCGCGCTGACCGCAGGGCGGGGGGCCGGCCGGGAGAGGGCCGGGGAGGGGGTCGCTGCCGTGTGCTTGCCGCGGATCAGAGCAGGGAGCTGCCGGCCGCCGCCATTACAGTCCCTCCTCCATCTGCCCGTCTCACTCACTCACTTTGGGGAAAGGGGGGCCGCGGCAGCAGGGGGGAGGGACGGAGGAGGAGGGACGTAGGGCCGCCGCTCGCGCACAGCACGCTGGGTAGCGAACGCCGCAGCAGCCGCACTCCGGATAACCAAATAGAGTCCGGCCTCACCCTACGCAGGCGCACTAAGGATGTACTCCTCTTCGGGGGCGGGGATAAGGCCTGGGTCCCGCCCCCACTCGGGTGCCGGGGGTCCCAGCTTTTCTGCACCGGTGGAATCGGGCTGCAGCCTTGACTTTGCAGAGCGTGTGGGTGTCGGGGCTTCCGGGTCATTTTCTTTACGCACACATCCTTAGGAGCAGCATGGGTCTCAGCCCTCGAATTTGGAGCTGGGTTCATGCCGGCCTTCGTACTGTCCTGGAATTCCTGACGTTTCTCTAGAATTCTTTGCGTGTTTTGCTCAGTCCCAAAGGGTCGGGCCTCTTTTTCTCTGCCTGTCACTCACTTGACCTCTGGTTTCGTGGCACCAGTCAATCTGCAGGATTCGGGAGACGTTTGCTTTTGGCAAATAGCCCAGATTCTTCCGGACTTTCTCACTGGCTCCTGAGCTTCGTCGCGACCTGCTTCTTTGGTCCCACTTCGATGCTCCTGGCCACCAGTTGTAACTTGTCTTGAGTCTCTTTATTATTCTGAGATAGCCTGTGTTTGAGAGACTTTGAGCTATTGCTTCATTTTTTTTTCATGGAAGTAGTAATGATATCTTGAATCTTCAGAATAGTGGGTTGGATGGCAAACGATAACTTTTCGAAGAGACTGATATTTAGAAGTGAATGAACGCAAATATTGTCATTAATGGCAGAACTTTTGATCGAAACAAAAGTATTGTGAATAGAACTTAAAATTAACTAAGTCAACACAACGATATCTTCCTTCATCATTAAATGGTTTTAGAGTGAAATACTACGTACAAAGAGGGTCAGTTTTTAAGAACTGTAGTGTGCATTTTTCTGTGCTTGGTTTCACAGGTCTTGTCCTCATAAACTCATAAGTTTTTAAAGTAAATAGATCTAACAACCTGACCACCGGCCTAGTGACCCACGTCTTTAATCCCAGCACTCTGGAGGCAGAGGTAGACAACCTAATCTGAGTTTCAGGCCAGCTTGGTCTACAAGAGTTCCAGGACAACACAGAAACACTGTCTGGAAAAGCCAAAAAAGGAAAGAAAAAAAGAAAACTAATAACCATTTGGTTGTACCATAAGATAAGAGCAATATTTAAAAGCAAACGAAAAGAAATATACACAGTATTACAGCTATACAAGAAATAATATATAAAATTGGTTGTGTTTTTAAACTTTTATTTTCACTATGAAAGCCTATAAAAATTTTCACTTTGGAGCATATAAGCGACCACTCGGGATGTAACTTCAGAGACAAAAAGAAATACATTTTATTTTGTCATGTCTGCTGTGTTATAATTTTTGAAGAACTGTTTTTTGTTTGTTTGGTTTGGTTTGGTTTTTTCTTTGTTTGTTTGTTTGTTTGCTTGTTTTGGTTTTTTTGTTTTGTTTGGTTTTGGGGGGGTTGTTTTGTTTTTGTTTTTGTTTTTGTTTTGTTTTTTTGGTTTTTCGAGACAGGGTTTCTCTGTGTAGCCCTGGCTGTCCTGGAACTCATTCTGTAGACCAGGCTGGCCTCAAACTCAGAAATCTGCCTGCCTCTGGCTCCCAAGTGCTGGGATTAAAGGCGTGTGCCACCACTGCCCGGCTGTTACACTTATTATTACTACTGTATTTATATATGAAATGTGATCTTTAATAATATGAAGAAGTGGGGCTGGAGAGATGGCTCAGCGTTAAGAGCACTCACTGTTCTTCCAGGGGGCCTGAGTTCAATTCCCAGCAACCACATGGTGGCTCACAACTATCTGTAATGGGATGCAGTGCCCTCTTCTGGTGTGTCTGAAGAGAGCAACAGTGTACTCACATTAAATAAATCCTTTTTTAAAAAAATATGAAGAAATAGTACTGTTATCTAAGAATACTGTTTCTCCACTTACTGACAATCAGCATACAGCTGGTTCAAGGAGTCCCATTCCTTGCATGAGGACACACACGGAGACCACTCAGAAATATTTACACACATCCTCAAGACTTTTTTACAAACATAGGAGGAAGCTTTTTTAGGGGCCTAAAGCCCACTTGGGTGGTGATTATATCAAAAGAGCAAGATGCATATTTATATTTCTCACTTCAGCTCAAGGTAAGATTGCCCCCTACCTACCCTGCGAAAAGAAAACTGTTGCTCTTCTATTGTCTGTCTTAAGTGGAGACAGGCAGACAGACCTTTTGAGGCCAGCCTGGTCTACAAAGTAAGTTCCAGAATAGCCAGGGAAATACACAGGGAAACCCTGTCTCAACAAACAAACAGGAAATACAAATAGCAAAGTTTTGTCCTCTGTTGAGATGATGTTTCATCTTCCAGCCCAGGACTCCTGAGAACACTGAAACGAGTTTCTAGAACATTTAGATAACAAGTTCTCCAAGTTACACTGTCACAGCTGAGCTTGCCCAACTGGAATTCCCTCTCTGATCTCTGGCTGAGTCATTTCCTCTCTTCAGTCCCATTTGAGGTCCTATTTGTTCTGTCCTCTGACGGGTCAATCATCCCTGCTCCTGCCCAGATTCTCCTCCTTTCAGAGTGATTTAGGGTAGGTGGAAGGAAAAATGATGTGCCACTCACCCTTGAGTGTGAGATTCTCCTGATTCTGCCACCCAAGTGCTGGGATTGTAAACGGACTTCAGCTTGCTCTGTTCATGAGAATCTTCAAGAAAGTCTCCTGGAGCCATGTATGGTGGCTCCATACTTTCTGCACTGGGGAAGCTGAGGCAGAATTATTGCTGGGAGTCCGAACCCTGAGCTACTTGATGAATTTCAGGCTATCCTAAAGTACACTGTGAGACCTTGTGTTGTTGTTGTTTAGTTTGTTTTGTTTTAAAAAAGAATGCCTATATTTTTGACCAGCTTAGTTTTTGTTTTCTTTCCTACAAGTAATATTTGAACCAATATGCTTATTCAGGTTTTGTCCAGCTAGACTTGTCATATTTAATTTACATGTATTATGCAGGCCAAAGTATATCAGGGAATTCCAGGCTTTTAAGTAAGTTGGAAATAGATAATACCCAAATACCTTCTTATCAGCTATTACATATGTGACCATGAGGAGTTTGTATTCTACTCTGTATTGACTTGTGATTCCCTAAGCACTTTGACTTGATGACCATACCCCTATCATCTTTCCACTGAAGAACTTAAGCAGGTTCACAAGTACTATTTTAGTTGTTGTATTTCCTCATCATAAAGGATGTGACAAGAATTGTTATTTTCATGGCCAGGAGAACAAGTCACAACACAGTTCTTGGTGACTTTAGCAAGTCCCATTGTATAATAGGAAGTGGTCCCCACCCCTTCATATCAGTGACTGTGTGTGCATTTGGAAACAAGGAAATAAAATCTCCCTTCACAATTTGCCTACTGTCCTATGACTAGGCTCAGTATTCATCATTAGCATGTTTGAAATTATAGTAATTTCAGGTGATTCAGTTACTCTGGGAAATAACAGGGTATTTACATTTATAAAGTAAGAGAGCAAACAAATATTACAGCCTACAGAAGGTTTGATAAGAAGTGATGTGAGTTCAAACCAAATGAGCATACCACATATTACATAGCTATGACCAAAGAGGAGGAGGCAGCTCTGACCTGCGCTGAGGCCTAGCCTGCAAAATGAGATCAGATACTGACTCATTACAGAAGTTGCTTGTGGCTATGTGTTTGCTTTTTATTGCTAAGAACAGACACCATGACCAAGGCAACTCTTATAAAAACAACATTAAATTGGAACTGGCTTACAGGTTCAGAGGTTCAGTCCATTATCATCAAGGCAGGAGCATGGCAGCGTCTAGGCAGGCATGGTGCAGCAGGAGGTGAGAGTCCTACATCTTCATCCAAAGACAAACAGGAAAAGACTAGCTTCCAGGCAGCTAGGAAGAGGGTCTTAAAGCCCACACCCACAGTGACACACCTACTCCAAGGCTATACCTCCATATAGTGCCACTCCCTAGACCAAACTTATTCAAACCACTACTCTATGAAAAATATATATACTTTATATATTATGTATACAAATATATACTTTATATATTATGCAAGCCAAAGTATACCAGGGAATTCTGAGCTTTTAAATAAGTTGAGAGTATATAATACTCAAATACCTTCTTATATGTTTGCAAAGTACTTGAGTCAGGCAAATAAAATATTGTGTGTAAAAGAAAAAAAGAAAATGGACACCAAACCTTTAAGAAACCCATGATACTATATAAAATTCTAGTCCAAATTCATTTTGCAATTGTCTCCTGGGTATTATGAGTCAGAAAAAAAGTAGGC